CCTCCACCCCCCTAACTCACTCTCTTCGCCGCTCATGCCCCCCCAAACCCCTCACACCCCCCAAAATCTCTCACATCCAAGCACCGCCGGGGTTGCCGCTCCCGCCTTGCTGTCCCGGGAGGAGCGGGCGGTTATCTGCTCGGATCAGCCGCGGGGGATCCTTGCTGCGGAGGGACTCGTGCCCTGCCCCCGCCATGTCGGTAGAAGCCGACGATTTGGGGTTTTTTGTTTCTTTCATTTTCTGTTTGTTGCTTTGTTTAAATCTACTCATCTCCGCGCCCGTCACTCATCCCCCCCCCGGCATCTGAGTAAAATAGTTTACACCTTTTTCTCAGAAGGAGAAAGGAAAGTGCTGCCATGCCCTCTGATTTCGCTCTAGAGAGTTACAAAAGTTGAGTTTTGATGTCACTGCTTGGCTTACGGCCCTGTCTTTGAGAGGCACTGTTGGATCATCCTGGGTACATCAGTCTGTTTCTGGAAGATGGAGGACTCATGGGATGGGCAGGCCCGGCAGCCACTCTAGCCACAGGTGGCCAAAGGTGGTGCCTAATTTAAAATAAAAGAAACCAAAGGCAAATGCAGAAGAGCAACTCAGCTTTGCCACTGCAATTACTGATGGAAGAACTTTGTAGTTTAAGACCCCAAGCCCCAGGTCTGGTGCTGATGGAGCATAAGGAACATGCATGATCCCACTGGATCCTTCCTCTTCTGCCCCAACAAAATGGATCACTGTGCACTAAGATCTGGATAGCATGAAGGGGAAAAGCCATGTCTCTCGCTCTCATCATTAGGATAATAAGATTTTTTTATTTTTTGTTACATTACAGGCAATACAGTAAGCTCCCATGGGGTTCACTGTTGGAAATGCCTTGACGTATGTGCAGACACTCATGATGGATAACTTTGTGTGAATTAAAGTTTGCAATGAGGCAGGTCCCTTCATTATGATAAACTACCTGTCCTCTCTGTAACACTAAGTATTTAAAATCACTTTAGTATGCGTTGAAAATTAATAAAGCAAAGAGTATACCTTTCATGGGAGGGAGCTGGATTAAAATGAGAGGGCAGAAATTCTGCCAGGTGGACTTAGATCAAGACAGAGACTATTTTTTAACCGATAAGGTGAAATCTAGCCTTGCTTCCAGGTCTTGCATTCCTTTTGTTTTAGAATCCCTGGAAAGATAAATGTATGGGCAAGCTACTTGGGTCTTTGGTTTAGTGGAATCATTGTTTTAGTCCAGTTAATCCTGTTTTTAACTAATGTCTGGCAAATGGCTTTTTGCTGTTATTTTCTTTTTTCCTAAATGTCTTACTAAGCTCAGCTGTATATTTGTAGAGTGTTTCAGCCTTTGACTTGAAAGTACAGACTCAAGTGATGTGGAAGACTGTGTGACTGTTGGTGGAGTCTCAAATTGACTGTGGAAGAGCACTGGTGATGGGTCCCACCTCACACACTCTGTAGCTTACCTACCTTCATAGTCATTAATTGAGTGCCTACAGCATCTTGGAAGAAAGCCTTGGAAGGTTGTTTCTCAGGACCAAAGACAGCACAGTTCTGCCCTTCCTGTTTACTTGCTTACAAAGAATGTGTCCAACAGGTAGCAGGGGTCAGGGGAGAAATACCTACATAAGGGTCTGTACAGAAGGATTGCATATATACCTTGAGGTAAAACTTCACAAGGAGAGCTTCAGGAGTTAACTAGAGGCTGAAAGAGTAAAGGGATAGACTTCAGTCTGGTAAGTTGACAGGTACTTTTACTGGTTGAGTATGTCTAAACTTAAGGCTGTATCAGATCATGTATTGAAGAGCAGGACATGAGGAAGCTGTATTTTACTGCATTGAATTAATGCACAGGCTGACAACGCATCTCCTCTCGGTTACTGATTTGCAGTACCATTTCAAATAGATGTAAAAAATCTGCAATCTCCTTCTCTAATTCATACTCATCAGACTTTGGGCTTCGTAAGTGGCACCACTGACTTCATTATTCTAGCTTAATTGCTTCTTTAATCAAAACTCGTAAGTTAAACTTACCGGGTTTTTGATTTTTAAATTTTTTTTTTAATAAAACTTCACAGCTACTGAAGATAGAAAAATGTGTTGTTTTAAGCTTCACTGTCACTTCTGTTTTGTGCAGACTCTTGTGTGTATCTTTACTTGCCGTCCCAAGGGCAACAACCTTTTATGTTCACAAAATGAAGGCTGTTGCAACTTCCGGCATGGTTGGTGTACGCCTTTAAAATTAGCTTTCCCCTCCAGCTGTTCAGGTGTCACGATCCGCTAATACAAGCGAGAGTCGTGTGAGGTTCATTTGATCTCAGAGTGCAAAAAGACACAAAGGGATATCAGTTTAAATCACAACAATGGTGTACCTTTATTTTAGTGCCAACAACGGGTTATGTGATAGACTAGAGGGTGAGAGAGAGAGAGGGAGGGAGGGGGAAAGAAAACAGAGAGAAGGGGGAGGTTATAGCTACCAACAGACGAGACGGGGTGACCAGGATCTTTTTCCAAGGGGAGATCTTGAAGAAGTTAACTTAGAAAGTCACTTTTATAGTTTGTTTCAAAAGTGCGGGGCAGCTGGCCAAGAGGTGGGGAAATTCCTAGGCTATTGTGATGAGACCCCTTGCTCTAGGAAGCAGGTGTAAGGTACAGAGCAGGCCGCTCCTTACAAGTCCCTGCTCAGCAGCAGGAACGAAGGCAGTGCACCATGGCAGCACAGCAAGTACACCTGCAAACAATCACTTGGCAAGCATCCACCTCAACCAGCCCAGAACCCCTGTACAAAGTCCCGTAGGGTCTTTAGGGTCTTAGTCTCTGTTCTTGCGACACTTTTGAGGCAAATGAAGGAAACTTTGGACCATTTCTTACATTAGGTCATGTGACTTGACTTGGATCTTCCTTGACTTGCATCTTGGAGGCAAAGAATGCATGGGGTCTGGCTGCATTGATGTTTAAAATGAGGAGGATAGGGTCACGGCACTTCACAGAGGAGTTCTGCTGTTTGGTCCATTCTCTGGCTAATTACAGACACCAACTAAATGTTCACAGAGACTCCCACCAAGCCACCTTTCTCTCAAGTTGCACATTATCTGAGGTTCTTTTTTACATGAACTTGACTAAAGGAATAAACATTGATATTTCTGTGTATTTTCTTGCAGCTCTTGTAAGTACTCGCATGACATCATGAATGTGGAGAACAAAAAAGTTCTAAAAAAACATAATTTGTCTGGCCTCAGTGAGAATGAGCTGCAAGTCCTGCTTCTCCAAAACGATGCATTCTTCCTCCCTGATGTAAGTTGTACTGATGTCTTAAGAGAAAGTTTTTGTTCATTAGGAATGGGAGAGGGCAAGAGAGAATGTGGAGTTCTGATCTTAACATCCAGCTGTTAAGATATGAAACAGGATTAGTCAGAATGAAAGAGGAATGAGAATGGCAATGTGAAACAACATTAAGCCAGACTGTGAAAGGGCTGTGTACTTAAAATAATAAAAAAAAACCACTCCCACAGCCGTAAAACTGTTTAATAAGTACCCAGAGACATGCATCTGGTGAAGGCCCTGTCATCTGTGATGTGTCAGGAGCAGACCTGCCCTCTGATAGCAGGAGGTGGGAAGCAAGGCTACAGCTTGTCTTGTGTGCTATTTCTGTTATCCCAACAGCATGGCTATAAAGCTGCTCAAAACAAGCAAACTAAAATGTCAGCAACTTGACCAGAGGTTTAAAAAGGGGTGAGATAAGCAAGAGAGAGTTGAAAGATCACAATAACTGTACTTGCTTACAGGGTGAAAGGTATGGCCAAAACCCAGTTTGTTGCTTTTTCCCTATTAGATGATGAAGACTAGGAAGTGAGTGCTCCCTTCCTTTTCCAGTTCATATAGGCCTGCACAGGCCTGCCCCCATTTTGGTGCTTGAGGGTATAAGAGATGAGAAGAATCTGTGAGAAGATGACCAAATTACTGCAGTCAGTTTTGTTTCAAATATGGCTCTTCCAAAGTGCACAGAGTTTTTGTACTCTGTCTTTCTACAAAGGAACCTTTGACCATATTGTGTGCTGTTCATTGGTTTTGTTAAATTTGGTTGAACATTCTGATTCAGCATGTGTGTATAAGGGCAATACTGTCTTCAATGTTTGGCTGTTTAAAAATCAGTCATATCCTGTTCTGACTGCAGCTGCTCCTGGTTAAGAAATTACCAAAGTATTGCCTTTGTCTTTGGAAGGTTATAATCTCCACAGATTTGTTGATGCAACAGTTCTGTTGTTTCTTTGTTCTCTGCTGTGAAAATGCTAGTCTTTGACAAAATATAATTTTTTTATGGTGTAGTGTTTTAAAGTATGTTTTACTGGCAGACTGAAGGAACATGGTGGTGATAAGCAAGGAGAATTACTAATTGTTCCCAGTAACGAGCAAATAGTTGCAACTATTCTTGGTATTAGCCTTAAGTGCTTACTAGAAATCTGTTCAGCCGTCACCCCTGCAGGCATCATTAATTACCTGTAATTTAGGAGCACTTTAACTCCTATCAGTATTTAGTAAAATAGCAAAACCAAGAGAAAACTGTGGTCAGTGCAGGCCATTCATAAACCTGAGAGCTTGGAGGTGGGATGTAAAAGCCAATTTGGCTCTTTCCTGCTTAGAAATGCTGACTGCTTGTGTGTGTGAAGACATGGCATGTAGGAAGCTCTCAAGCAAGAGGACATGTCGGTGTTCTGTGACCTGAACTGGGGTTCAGAGTAAGAAAAACGCAACAGCACCACAACATCAGGGATTTTCACACGTTCCTTCACCTTCTCTCTGGTTCTCCTGGTTGGTTGGTTGGTTGGTTGGTTGGTTTGGAGTGTGTGCGCATGTGTGTTCATTTGTTTTGTTTTTTGGTTGGTTTTTGTTCCTGTTTCTTGGCAGATGCAAGGGGACAATGTGCTTTCTTGATGTAGCTAAATAGTGGATACCCTATTTTCATAGTTTAAGCCCCGATAAGTACCATGCAGCCACTTGCTCTCTCCCATCCTGGTGGTATGGGAAGGAGAATTGGAAAAGGGGTAAAACTTATGGGTTGAGATAAGGATACTCAAATAATTGAAACAGAATAAAATATAGTAATAATAACTGCAATGAGAGGAAGTGAGAGATTAATCTCTATATTATAGATATCTATATGTTATATTTATAAAGTATAAAACCCAAGAGAAACAAGTAATTCCCAGTACAGTTGCTCCCTACCCCCTGACTGATGCCCAACCCATCATCCCTGAGCAGTGGTTGGTGGATCCTGGGAAGAGGGATTTGGAGAGGACCTGTGAGAGTCCCAGTGTGATATTGGGGCTCTCTGCCAGACAGCTTTGTTTGTCCTCCTCAAGGAAGCTTTCTTGTTACAGGCTGCTCCCAGAGAAAAATTGTTACTGTGGTGCTTAGTGGTCAATGTGAAGGAGCTTTTGGTCTGTGATTTGTTCTCTGGTCTGATTCTCTGTGCACCTCTTTTTTAGTGAGTAGAGGAATAAAGAAGTGCATTGATTTTTCCATATGTACTCTAATATCAAAGCATTCTTACCATTTTATAAGCTCAAATCTTTAATGCAGGATAAACTTTACAAATAGGAAATTGTAACTCATTTGACACTGTACATATTTTTATGGAGATACTTATTCTTTGTTGTTTATTATGCTCTAGGGGTTTTTAAATAGAATAACTGTAAACCAATCTGATTTTATGCAACTGTCTTGCATTCATTTTTGGCACTCCTAACTTTGTTGGGTTGGCTTTTCTTGGAAACAAAACATGATCAACTTCAAAACTGAAAATGCATGAGTCAGCTTAAAATACCTGATCCTCTATGCAAAAAATCTGTCTAGATTAAAGAAGTCACAGTAAACACATGTCTTTTAATCACCATTTTTCTGCAGTTAAAGCTGCATTCCTATAGGACAAAGAAAACTTCTAATGTGCTTTTCCATTTCCTATTGTATCCTCCCCACTCTTAGACCTGCTCCTTGTACAACAAAAAAGGTCACCACTGTAAGCAGCAAAACAACTGCAACAAGCTTCATGTTTGTCGACACTTTCTCCATGGGAAATGTAAATTTCCTCGATGCATAATGTCCCATAACCTCTTGGATGACCACACATTGAGAGTGTTGGAAACCGGAGGCATTGACGCGAAGATAGCTTCAAACTTCCAAGCTATATATGATTACAAGCATATCGAATTCAACAGGGAACCGAGGAAGGGGTATGGTAAGTTGCAAGAAATAGTGGTCTTAAACATGATTTTGAGTTTGATAGAGGTAGAAACTGTTCTTGCCTGACTTCCCAGCTAAACCCCATTGTCCTTTTGGTGCTTTCAGTACTCAACTACAGACCATTAAATGATCATTGGAAAAAGCCAGCAAAAGAACCAAAGACAACTTTGCAAACAGTGCAAACCATGCTGCATGTGCCACCTTCCGAAGGTAAATACCTAGGTAATAGTATCAACCATTTCCTTGTGGAATCAGCTTTTTTATTTCTCCTCTTGCAATCTATACACATTTTTTCCCTCTCTATTATGCACTTGCAAGAATGGAGTAAGCCATAGCACAGTCATGTGGGAGAGAGAACTGCACTTTCATTGCCTAAAGTACTTAATTCAAAACAGCAATTGAGTGACTGGCAATAACTGACTAGCTAGGGTTTGTAACTGTAATTGCACCTCTGTTGTATCAGCAGTGGAGTGCAGTGGAAAATTACAAGTGTGATGGACATAATTTTCCACAAAGATTGGGATATTGCCAGCTAGCTGAGCTTCTGGCCCAGCAGTGCTGTTCATTCAGTCTTTTCATGCAGGTCCCAGTAGCACCGTACCTGCTCAGAACCAAGACCAGTTGCCAGCAGGAGCAGGAAATAAAGATAAAGGTATGGATTGTTTCTTACCCTCCAGTCTTGAAACCGGTGGTTTTCACTGGGATTTGATTTCATGCAGCCTGATAGCTCCCTGTGGTAGTTGAGTGCAGCTTATGTGCTTGCCTTACTGTGTGCTGAAATCCATGTGTCTTGGTTCTAGAAGACAGGTGTCTGCTAGGGAGGGTAGGAGCCTCCCTTGGGATGAAAGAATGTAGACCCCCTCCCTCCGAATTATTATAATTTTGAAATCAAGGGGCCTTTAGGCAGAGATCTGGGGATAGGAATGACAGTTATTTACTAGTATAACCAGGCAAACAAACAACAATAACTACAGCAATAACAAGAAAACGGAACCAGGGGCCCCGTGACAGCAGCCGAGACGGGATGGAGGAGAGGCTTTGTTTCACAAACCCCTCAGGCGGGCAGTCCTGGTGCTCCTGCAGGGCTCTGAGGAACACTCAGCTGGAACAGCAGGGATGAGCTGAGATCCTGGGCTGGTGGCTGAGGTGTATCCGCTGCGGTGCCTGGCACTGCCACACGTCCCAGCAGGACAGGGGGTGCGAGGCCACCAACAAAGAGGGAAGAAGGAGAAGAAGCAGCAGCTCCGTCTGGGTGATGGCAAGATTCCCTTCTCTCTCCCGCAGCAACCCCGCGACCCAGAAAATGAATGTCTTTCCCCGAAGCCCTGAAGCCCAGCCAAAAACTGTCCCCACCCTCCTTTCCTTCCCCCTTCCCCCCCTGGGCCCGGCCACTCTTAGTCCTTTGTTGAGCACCCACTAAGTACCCACAGTTAGGTTGTCTCTGAAACTAATGGGTAAAAATTCCAGAAACTAATGGGTAAAAATTCCATGGGCAGGCCAGAACAACGACAAAAAAAAAATAAAAGGACACCTAACCCTCAACACCATGGTACCAGATGGCCAGCGGAGCAGTGTTGGAATTTCTGACCAAGCATTGGGCAGCACTCTGTACTGTCCTGGACACATTTTTTCCTTCCTAGGAGGGTGACAAAATTTTATCTGTGCATGCAGTATCTTTCCTTGCCTTCTGTCTGTAGGCAATTAATTCAGCTTTGTGAGGAGAGGTGTTGTCTTGATATACCTTCCAGTGAGTGAATGGCAATTTATAAATCTCCCGTTACTCTGGGCAGAAGGACCTTGGCTTTAAAGCTTGTCAGAATCCAGTACTCTCTGAACTGGTTCTTTTAGATATTCCACACATGGATGATGTAATGTTTCATATCAAATTACAAGAGTGATGGACATAATTTTCCACAAAGATTGGGATATTGCCAGCTAGCTGAGCTTCTGGCCCAGCAGTGCTGTTCATTCAGTCTTTTCATGCAGGTCCCAGTAGCACCGTACCTGCTCAGAACCAAGACCAGTTGCCAGCAGGAGCAGGAAATAAAGATAAAGGTATGATTTTTTTCCAACTGTCTGGTCTTGAGATGAGCTTATCTAAAAAGAGTTGATGTCATGCAGGTGTTGTGGCTCAGCCACTTGCTCACTTCCTCCTGATCCTCAGGGGGAAGAGAAAAGAAAGAATAAAGGCAAAAAAACTTGGGTCAAAATGGGGAGGAGGGAGGGAGGGAAAAATTCTCGAAATAGTAAGTGGAAGAGGAAAACCAAGCAAAAGAACACTTTTGTGTCACTCATCGCATCCCACATGCAGGCTAGCCAGTTTCCTAGTGTTGCCCGATCCGAAGAAAACACAAACAACCGAAGTCGTTTATGCGGTGCTTTATTGAGGGCCCGGGAGCCTGTGGACTAGCGTCCAAAGACAGAGCCCCATTTCACAGAAAAATCACAGGGTTTTTATATGTTTTCTACACGATTTCTTCATCATCATAATTTCTTAATTCTCTCTCACTACCTGGTACGATTATCTCTCTGACATTTAAATTTTGCCAAAGTACATTCCTAGATTATCTCCTAGTTACACTGCTTACATTGCAATATCTGCCATATAGTTCATCTGCAGGTTACATGTGGCCTACCAAGCCTTAGCATAACTACTACTAATGTCAAACTAATGCTAACTAATACAGTTTATTGAACCAAATGGCAACAATTCCCCCCCTTTTGAGCATTCTTCAATCTTCTGCAAGAATGCTCAACTCTTAGTTATCGTTGGTTCTTTCAAATGCTGGATTATCTTGCCCAACGACATCTTCATACTTCGGAGGAGGTCGGCGTCTTTCATTGAGGCGTA